TGAAGTGTCTAAGGGCTTGGGACTCCATTGTTTGTGGGGGTTGGTGGTTCATACATATTTCCAGTAGGTTGTAAATCTACTGTTATTTGGTTATTTATGAAAGTGAATCAACTCCATCCTTCTCATAGGTGGTCAGGCATAAAGCTTAAAGACATCACCAAACAGCACTTGTCTTTCCAATGCCTTCTTGATGGCAGTTAGGTCTGCAAGCAGGATGGAAATGTGAAGAGTTTTAACACCAACGACAGACACATCTGCTTCCAGCTCTGCCACCTCTTGTTCCCTGACTTGCTGCTTAGCCACCACCATGAGGGATTCCCCGAAGTGCAGGGGCCGCAGGAATTTCTGGATTCTCCTGATCTTAACGCGGTGAAAATCTCTTCTTTTGTGTTCCCTCTCTCTGGGAATCTGACCATGAGTTCATGTGAGCATTTCCAGATCTTTTTGGGCTCCCTCGACTGGCCCTGAGGTAGGCATCTTGTCCCTTGGCCATATGACATCCTTCCTTGTGATTTTTTTTTTTTTTTTTACTTGGCACCCGGAAAAGTGATTTTCATCTTGTTTGTGGTGGAAATGCTGGGCCTTGTGAGGTGTGGACACAACCAGAGGCCATTGTTTTTTCTACTTTGTGGAAGAAGTAGGCTTAGGAAAAACCAAAGCTGATATTCACAGACAGTTATGGACAATAGAAAAATTCTTGATGTCATGAGTGTCACCAGACCCAGTTGTCCCTACAATCTGGCTGCAACCTTCCCTGAATTCCCTGAGGTTTTGAGAGTCTTGGGGTTCAATTTGCCTGTGTGTTCCAGTCATGTTAGGTGCTGGGCTTTTGTCACTTGTGACTAAGAGGACCTCATCAAGAAGCCCAGAATGACTGTAAGTATTCCCCTTTTAGGATTTCACTCTCCACCCTTGAGAGAAGCTGGACTGGATCCTTAAAGTCCTCTGGCTCCATCATTTGGAGATGTTCAGATATAGAAGCTCCAGGAAAACTTAGAGACAGCTTATAAAGGAAGCCATGGAAGAAGCTTGTCCCGAGCATGCAAGCCCCTGACAGAATCTCGGGGTGGGGGTGGGGGTTAGGAAGGGCAGATGTGCATTTTTAAGAATTAGAACTGAATCAAGAAGTATTCACTTGATTATCTGGTCATCTTTTACTTGGGGTCTCCTCTGTATGGGGTCCAGAGACATCCTCATGAAGGTCTGAAAGAGAATATAGGAGTTCAGAGAGTGTATTGGGGAGCCAGCCTGCTCGGGCTCAAACCCTAGCTCTGCCCCTCACTGTGGCACTATTGGTGGCCCACTTCAACTGTCTGTGCCTACGTGTTCTCATTCCCTTAAAATGGTGCTCATAATGATACGTAACTCATAGGGTTGTCGGATGGATTCAATCAGCTAATGCATCTATCTGTCTCTCTCTCTCTCTCTCTCTCTATCTATCTACCTATCCACCTATCTATCAATGTACTCTATCTATCTATCTATCTATCTATCTATCTATCTATCTATCTTCATCATCATCATCATCATCATCTGTCATCATCTATCATCTTCGAAGAGTCAACTGGCATATAGTAAACAGCTTACGTGATCTTTGCTATTATTATTCTATTCGATTTTCCTTTCACATTTTGGCTTAGCTACCACAGTGCCCTGAATCTCTAAATCAGGAAATAAAAGTCAGTCAGATCTGTAGTCCTTAGGAACAAACTTTCCTTTACTTTAGTTGTATAGGCTCCAATACTCACAAATGTGAAATTTTGATCTGTACTCTTTGAGGTTCATTCTGCTTTCTTTCTGGGGCTGACCTCATGAGGACTGAATTGTCTTAAGAATTATCTGACAGTGGTTTAAAATTCTACTGTGGTTTCTTGAAAGTGGGGTTCTGGTTGTCTCAGCAGCCTGTGTCACCTGGAGATGGAGTGAGGTAGAATCACTACTGTTTCTGAAGAAAAACTACAGGTACTCAGCTACTAGACCGTCTTTAAGATGGAAGGAAAGGTCTCTCTCTTTTTTTTTAAGGTTTATTTACTTTTGAGAGAGAGAGTGTGTGTGAGCAGGGGAAAGGCAGAGAGAGAGGGAGACACAGAATCTGAAGCAGGCCCCAGGCTCTGAGCAGTCAGCACAGAGCCCAACGTGGGGCTTGAAATCATGAACCACGAGATCATGACCTGAGCCAAAGTTGTACGTTTAACCAACTGAACCACCCAGGCTCCCCTGAAGGAAAAGCCTTTTTTAAAAAGCTCCTGCGGGATCTGTCTAGTGGGATTTTACTCCCTGCCTGCCTCCCTATCAATCCGTTTCACAGTAGAAACAATTGCTCTTGGGGAAGCCGGTCTGTGCAGACTTAAAGGAGCCAGATTTCGAGATGAGTCATGAGGAGATGCCTTTTCTTGGAATGATTACGGCTTTGCTGTTTGGCATCTGGTCAATTGCTGAGCTTTTTCAGAGCTGTGCTGCCTGAAGCTCATCCATCCCTGGGACCTCTGATTCTGCAGGATACAAATCTGCTTTAAGTGAAAAAGAGGTTTTGTGGTCAGATATTTTGGAGGAATTGGGGGGGGGGTAAGAAAGGTGAGAAGGTTTATTAATTATAGGACCTCATAGATTGGTTAATATGCTGCTATGTAAAATGAAGTTTCCACACAAAGGATACAGTATGTAGTGAGTTCCAAACTTGTGAGAACAATAAACCTCTTTTCCTCCCTGGAACCATCTGGGAAGCCTGTTACTAAGGTGGATGTCAGGGCGCCTGGGTGGCTCAGTCCATCAAGCATCCAGCTCTTGATTTCTGCTCAGATCATGATCTCACGGCTTGTGGGTTCGAGCCCCGCATCAGGCTCTGGCCTGACAGGATGGAGCCTGCTTGGGATTCTGTCTCTCTCCCTCTCTCTCTGCCCCTCCTCTGCTCATGTTCTCTCTCTCTCTTTCAAAATAATAAATAAACTTAAAAAAAAAAAAAAAACCAAGGTAGATGTCTACTCCCCATGGCAGAGGAACTGTAACAGAGTTTCTGGAGGTAGGACGATAGTATTCACGTTTTAAATAAATTCCCTGGGTCATTTTTTTGCATCAGGAGAACCGGTTTGAGAATTGGCACTCTGGAGGAGAGATCGATCGCAGTTAAGAATTTGTTCAGTTTGCCTGGTAGAAGTTTGTTCATGACTCACACACCTCACGACTCCTCATTTGCACGGTTCCGTTTCTACCAAATAGTGAGATTCCAGAATCACTGATTCCAGGACGTCTTAGCGATGGAGGAACGGAAACTTGTGCTTACAAAACAGTCTTCATTTGGGATCCGCTCAGAGCTGCCTCGAGTGGCAGTGGGCAAAGCCCTTGAGAAAATTCCCAGTTGAGATACAGGAAAACATTAAAAAAAAAAAAAAAAAGTACCTCCCCTTTGGTACAAGGCAGAAATGAGGCTAGACCAGGAACCAGCCTCGTCAGATGCTGCGGAGTGACGGCAGAACGTGAGATGAAGCTCATGGAGTTTGAAATTAGAGAGAAATCCTCAAAGATATTAGACACCTCGTTAGAAGTCACATGAAGATAAATTGCCTCTCTCTGGGGACTCCCTTTAGGGACCAATTCAGGCATGGCGCTGGAGCAGTGAATATAGGAAGCACTCGCAGGAGGTCTAGTGGTGGATCAGAAGCTCAGGGAGAGAGGCTGGTGCCTTAGCCCTGAGATGCTGTCCGAGTCTGAAAAAAAGACCCAGGAAGCTCCAGTGTCAGGGATTTGCTGTTTTGTTAAAGGTGAGAAAAAAGAGATGGACTCCATGAAGCGAGAGCAGACACAGAGGTCTGGAAGCGACCTTACCCTCCCCCAGGTTGCTATAATTTTGGACTCACGCTGTATTGTTGTTTATTGAAAGGGAACAAAGACGGGATATTTGAAGTCCGGAGGGGAAAAGCGATTCTCTTAGGGTCACGCATCTTGTGTGGATGAACCCGAACGCAGGTCTCTTCTGGATTGGTGGGTCCCATGGCTTCAAAGTTGAATTTCTTTTCTTTGTTATTTTCCCTAATGGGTCAGCTCCATATTGGCCTGGTGGCTGGTGCATGGGGTCATCAAACAGGATCGAAGTCCTCCTTTACAGCCCTTCCCTAGAACCCTGGTAAGACTCCAAATCCCTTAGCTGAGACCCCTCCAATAGCGATTAGACACCAGACTGCAGAAATATTCCTGCTTTCAAATTTGGATGCTGTCTGTTATCAAACTACTTTTTCCCGGGACTGTGTGAACAATCAAACCATGTTTATGGAGTTTTGTTAGGTGCTGAAAAGAGCTTATGTTTGTTGTTTTGATTCCAAGGTTATTGCTAGTGCTTACAAAAAGCAACAAATGAAAACCCTTTAATAAGCCAGCCAGCCAACTCTAATTAGGGTAACAGCTATTTGTTAAACATGCCCGTTTTTTCGACTGAGAATAGAAATCTTCCTACAGCAGAGCCCATTGCCGATTGCTAATGGGCTTTTTTTTTTTTTAATTCATGCTCCTTTGTTCATAGGATATAAATTTTCCTTCCTTAAAACATTCATTTACAATTTTAAATAGCTACTATATATACGTGGAGTGCTTTTGGCCTTCCTAAACACTTTTGCATCTGTTTTAATCTATGCATTAACCTTATCTCTTAAGGAGGGCAGACATTATGATCTCCTTCTGGTAGAAGAGGAAACTGAGGTTCAGAGAGGTTAACTGCCTTGTGTAAGATGAAACAGCTAATTGGGGACAGAGTTGCAAATACAGGAGCTGACTTGAAAGTCAGATAATTACTTGCTGTCCGTTCTTAATGTAATAGGAACTTTCATCAGTTTTCTCTTCTAGGGAGCTCTTTATTTGTCCATTTCCACTTAGACTGCAAGGTTTGTTCAAGTCGAGTGCCTCCCGCCAGACACCCAATTTAAAGCTTTCTTGCTGAAAATGATTTGCACTCGTCTTCAGAGTCCTCTCACCTGGCTCTTGTCCTTCCTCACAGGCAAACCGCCGGATGGATGGCCGGGAAGAATGACACTGTAGTGACCGAGTTCTTCCTCACTGCGTTCCTAGAGCATCCCGAGTGGGGGCTCCCTCTCTTCCTGGTGTTTCTGAGTTTCTATCTACTCACTCTGCTGGGGAACGCGGGAATGGTCATCCTGATCCGCGTGGATGGCCGGCTCCACACCCCGATGTACTTCTTCCTTGGCCACCTTTCCTTCGTGGACATCTGCTACTCGTCTGTCACGGTCCCCCAGATGCTGGCTGTGCTGCTGGAGCACGGGACAGCTCTGTCCTACACACGCTGTGCCGCTCAGTTCTTCCTCTTCACCTTCTTCGCTTCCATCGACTGCTACCTCCTGGCAATCATGGCCTATGACCGCTACGTGGCCGTGTGCCGGCCCCTGCTTTATGTCACTATCATGACCGAGAAGGCCCGCTGGGGCTTACTGGCTACAGCTTCCGTGGCTGGGTTCTCCAGTGCCTTCGTTCGAACGGTCACAGCCTTCACCCTCTCCTTCTGTGGAAGCAATGAGATCGACTTTATTTTCTGCGATCTCCCTCCTCTGTTAAAGCTGACCTGTGGGGACAGCTACACCCAGGAGGTGGTGATTATTGTGTTTGCCATTTTTGTCATGCCTCTTTGTGTGCTGGTGATCTTGGTGTCTTACCTGTTTATCATCATAGCCATCATGAGGATCCGCTCCGCCGGGGGCCGGGCCAAGACCTTCTCCACGTGTGCCTCCCACCTCACGGCTGTGTCGCTCTTTTTCGGCACCCTCATCTTCATGTACCTCCGAGGCAACTCGGGCCAGTCTTCGGAGGAGGACCGAGTTGTGTCAGTGCTCTACACAGTGGTGACCCCCATGCTGAACCCCTTCATCTATAGCCTGAGGAATAAGGAGGTAAAGGAGGCGGTTATAAAAGCCCTGAGCAGGTCAAAGGCTTCTGGAAAGCCCTAGATGGACTCTTGCCAAATACGTCATTCCTTAGTTTCCCTGTCCTTTCTTTCTTTTTTTTTTTTTTAAGAAATTGAGTTGTTTCTTTTTTTTTTTAATTTTTTTTTATTTATTTCTAGGAGAGAGAGAGAGAGACAGCGTGAACAGGGGAGGGTCAGAGAGAGAGGGAGACACAGACTTTGAAATAGGCTCCAGGCTCTGCGCTGGCAGTCAGCACAGAGCCCGACGTGGGGTTCGAACCCACGAACTGCGAGATCATGACCCAAGCGAAAGTCGGACGCTTAACCGACTAAGCCACCCAGGTGCCCCTCCCCCTCCTTTCTGTCTATCCTCAAATATCACTGAGTTGGGGAGACATTCCCAGACAACCGTACTTCATATTGCACCTGAACTGCCCACCTCCACTTTCTGATTTATTATTCTATGTCATACTTGTCACCATCTGATGTACTATGTACTACATATTTGATATCATCTAATTCTCACAAACTAGAAGGTAACCTACATGAGAGGAGGCATTTTTATCTGTGAGACCCACTTCTGTGCATTCAGTGCCTAGCCTAGCACTTAGCACATAAAAAGCACCAGTAAGTATTTGTTGAATAAACGCATTAATCTCTGGCTCCAGTGTCTATCTTGCAGTTTCAATTTCCTTGTCCTCAGGTTTTTTCTTATCTTCCAGGTGGGTTGACCTACTTTATAGGCCTAGATTTTTGAGGATCCAGGGCATAAAAGAGCAGGGACCATGTCTGTCTGATTTGCTAGTATCTATTGAATTCTGTAAATATCCAGGCACAACACACACTTGATGAGCGGAATAAAAAGTTTTGGAAAATCCAAAAGCTACCTATAAAGGGCAACTACTGGTTGGATCCAAAGGGATTTTCCAAGTCCCATCGTTTATTCTTTCATTGTTTTCCTTCTTGCTGTTCCTGCATTTTTAGAATCATTAATAATAATAATAATAAATTATAGATAGTCACTATCATTTATCAGGGCCGTCATCACCTTCCAGGAATTATGATGGGTGCCACAGGAATTATCTGATTTGCCTCTTTCCACAACCCCGGGAGGCATGTTCCATGATTACCCCTGCTTTGTAGGTGGATGAGGCACCAGAGACTCAGAGAGGCTGAGCAATTTTCTCAAGGGCAGCAAGCAAGCAAGTGGTCAAGTGGGACTTCCAATCTGGCAAAGCCTGAGCTCTGAATTGCCACACACACACAGTCTTCTGCTATGATCTACTGTCTACTCTACTCAATCATTCAATCTGGAATTTATTGTTATTGCCTGTTTCTGGTTCTTGAAGAAAAGAGAAAAGTCCAATCTGTAAAGGTAGTAGGCAGTCAACACACTTATTTTATAGCCCTGATGTACTAGTGTTGTGTAAGGTAACAGCAGGTGTCTGTGCGTGTGTATGTGTGCATGCGTGTCATTGCATATGAGCAAATGAGGTGTGTAGATTAAATAAATGCAGCTTCTGAACTTCAGGAATTTTCATTTTCAGGACATAGGACGAGGCTTTTAGGAAAGAGTTGGGTGGGCATGTTTAGGAAAAGGTATAGGGGAAAAAATTGCCCTGGGAGCCAAGGAATTTGAATTCATGTATCAGTCTTTATTCGTGTTTTTTGCACAAGTCACTGACAAGCTGCAGGATGGGGTAAAGCAACTCCACCAGGTGCATCTTGGGGACCAGTTTTTCCAATATTAACTGCTATGCAAATGTTCATCTGACATATCAGCTCTTGTGGCAGGGAATAGAGGCAAGCATGTCATAGAAGAAGCTCAGCATTCAGCACCAAAGTGTCCATGCTGTCATTTCTTAGCTGTATGGCTTCAGACTAGTTAGGGTTGGTCACTCTGCTTTCTCAACTGTGAAATAAAACTTATTAAGCATGTACCCTGGGCCAGGTTTTATGTGTATCACATTTATTCTCACGACAACTCCTTACATGTGGAGAAACAGAAGGTACTGGGGGAAGTTCTATAAACATTAATTAGTTTGATTATGGCGATTGTCCTAGGGTCTACAACCCAATGAGCACCCGTGGGCCTCTTCATTTCAGAACTGTTTGGAACAGTGTCTTCTGGGCTGAGATTAGCGTTGGGTCCAGACACCTGCAGAAGTGGAGGTCACCAAAAATTTTTTTAACTTACCTCTTAAGGTAATATACACTTAAACACACACTTAAATTAATGCTAGCCACCAGGCTAAAAGCTTTACATGAATGATTTACTTTAGTCCTAACAACTTGAGTGGAAAGTAATTCTGATTGACCTCATTTTGCAAAAGGAAGATATTAGACCCACAGAGGTGCTATAACTTGCCCAAGTTCTGCAGCAAGAAAGTGATGGAACAGGGAGTACCTGATCCCAAGTCTTTCTCACTCCAAAAGGTCTGCTCTCAAATACCACCCCCCTTGTGTGCTTCCCCCTCTCTCTCTCCAAGAGGCCCCAAGTCTCAGTTGCAAATCATTTCAGAAGTGTCTGGATTTTAGTTGCTTCCTCCAATAAATAGTTCATCAGGCACCAACCTTGCCTTCACATCTTCCTGTTCAATCTTCAGTGATTGTATAAGAATTCAAGACTCCTTTCCAGACACTGATCATTGTTATTGCTTACTATTTAATAACATTTAATATATATTTAATTATTTTGTTCTATCATCTATATCTATCTATCTATCATCTATCTATCATCTATCACATATCTAGGTATCTATCTACCTATTATCTATTATCTATCTATCCATCCATCCTTCGTTTATCTATCCGCTATCTATCATCATTTATCAAATCTGATCTCTGTTTCTAAGAGTTTGTTTTTTTAGATTCCACATACAAGTGAGATCATACACTATTTCTCTTTCTCTGTCTTTCTTATTTCCTTTCCAATGCAATGTTTAATAGAAGTAATGGCAGTGCATGTTTCTGTCCTGTTCTTGATAAGGGGAAGCTTGTCAGTCTTTCATCAATCACTGTGTGGGTTTTTCATAGATGCCCTTTATCACTTTATAGGAGTTTCCTTTGATTCCTAGTTTGTTGAGAGTTTGTTTTTTTTTTTTTAATTTTTAACTTTTCTAAATGTTTATTTAGTTTTGAGAGAACATAAGCTGGGGAGGGCAGAGAGAGGGGACAGCGTATCTGAGGCAGGCTCTGCACTGATAGACTGACAGCAGCCAGCCCAATGTGGAGCTCAAACTCACGAACCATGAGATCATGACCTGAGCCAAAATCGGACACTCAACCAACTGAGCCACCCATGTGCCCCAAGAGTTGTTTGCTTGTTTTTTTTCAATCAGGAATGGATTTTGGATTTTGTCAGAAGACTTTCCTGTATCCACTAGGATGATCATATAGTTTTATTTTGTGCTTTTAATATAGTGGATTACATTGATTGCTTTGGGAATGTTAGAGAATTCTTGTAGTTTTTGGATAAACTGTACTTGAATACAGTGTAGTATTGCTTTTATTATCAAAAAAAGTAAAAGATGTTCCTTAGTATTCTTGGTTGGTTAAAAAGATCACAGATGGTATTGCCTAAAGCCATATGCCAGTTTTAAAAGGAGACTGTAGTTCTGAGTCATCTAAATACCTCTATTAAAAGGAGAATAGAGAGAGGCATAAGCAATGGAAGGAAAACGGGAGCAAAGAGGAAAAATGAGTTGTTTTCATCTTCTGGGAAATATGTTCTGCGGGAGACAGTTTCCATGTGGGCTGAACTCTGAGAATGTAGGACCGGTGAAGAGGTCGCTGGGAATGTCTGCCCGGGTGACAGGAGCAGATCACAAGGGAAGATCAAAGGGCTGATAGTTGGCCTCCTGTGGTATTTGAAACAATTGATCCCTCTTTTCTCTTTGAAGAATTTTCACTTTCTTCCTCAGTATTCCTGACACTGCTTTATTCTGGTTCCCTACCTCCCTGGCTCCTGCTCCTCTGACTTTGCTGGGTCCTTATACCTAAATGTTAGACTCCATGCAGGGCTTAGTCATAGATCTTTCTCTCTTTCTGTAGCTACCCCTTAGGTAATTTCATCCAGTTCCAAGGATTAAGTTCTTACTTAGACTATTTTATTTATTTTATTTGGGACCGAAGGGCAGGAGGAAAGGGAGAGAGAATCCCAAGCAGTTTCCAAGCCCATTGTGGAGCTGATGTGGGGCTCTACCCCACAGCCCTGGAATCATGACCTGAGCCAAAATCAAGAGCTGGACACTCAACCGACTGAGCCACCCAGACACCCCTTACTTAGAGCATTTAAATAAAATTCGAAGTCTTCACCATGGCCTGAGAAGATTCAGCCTGGTTGGGTCCTCAACTACCACCATGACTATATTTACTTCTCACCTCATTTCCCCTCATCCACTCTGGTTCTCTGAGGGTGTCACCCTGGTCCCACAGCAAGATCTTCCACCTGAAGCCCCCTTTTCTTGGACTGTGTTTGCCCAGATCTTCTCATGGCGCACTCTCTTACTTTATTCAGTTCTCTACTCAAATACCCAAGAAAGGCCTTCCCCAACTCCTGCACCTCTCCATCAGGAATAGCTATCTCACGCTGAGTCATTGTCTATTCTCTGCTCCGAGTTCACTTTTTATGCCAGGCCTACTTGCTATCTCATATTACAGCCCTCATTTATTTATTCATTCCTTCATTGTCTGTCTCCTTCTCCATGAAGGAAAAGCCAGGGAAGCAATGGCTTTTAAACCTCACTAGGTATTTTAAAACTATTTGTTTGATAAATAAAATAATGCACCATTGCTGAAATGTTTTCCATTAGGTCTTACAAGTCATGCTTACCCAATGTATGGAATTTTTTCAGTGTGTTTTTCTAAGCATTTCCCTTGCATTTGTGTTACTTACACTTAAGTGGTAAGGATTTCTGTTAATTTATTCATAAGTCCACAAGTTGGTTTTCCTCAGGTATGGCTAGTAAAAAAGCACTAGAATAGCATAACATTCACTTGACAGTGCTTTGCACAAAACTTTATGTATCCTAAATGTAATGA